ATTACAGGCGTGCGCTACCACACCCGGCTAATTTTTTTATTTATTGTAGAGATGAGGTCTTGCTGCCCAGGCGGGTCTCGAACCTGCGGGATCAGGCAATCCACTTACCTCAGCCTTCCAAAGGCGCAGGATTACAGGCTGAGCCACCGAGCCCGGCTCATGTTGCATCTTCATTGTTAACTAATGTTAGAAGTATGGTTGGTACTCATCAAAATGATATGAAGAAATGCTGTGTAACTAGTAGATAACTTATTTCAGAGAAACAAGTTATTGGTCATTGAAAGTCAATAATATTCTAGTATGAAACAATCAGAAATGGGATGGCTCATCCCATTTAAGGTATTCTTGAGGGAATTCAATTTAGTTCCTTAGGCATATATTTTAACATAGACTTTCAAAGCTCCTCAGTTACTCTGAGGATCTTTGCTGTTCAGAAGACCCACAGCTTGATGCCACCTAATTATTGAAGATGATACATTTTTTTCCCCTTCTGAATCAGTTTTTCTTGAATGGCAAAATAAGTGAATAATGGAGCATAGTCAAGATTATGATCAACCACCACTTTTTAATCTTAAAAACTGTAGCTATTTGGGTTTTTTGTTTCTGTTTTTTTGAGTTGGAGTCTGACTCCACAGCCACTGCAGCTTCAACCTGCTGGGCTCAGGTGATCCTTCCGCCTCAGTCTTCCAAGTAACTGGAACTGTAGGCACGTGACACCATGCTCAGCTAATTTTCTGATTTATTGTAAAGGTGAGGTTTCGCCAAGTTGTCCAGACTGGTTCAAACCCATGTATTCAGGCAGTTCTCTCACCTCAGCCTCCCAAAGTGCTGGGATTATAGACTTGAGCCTTTGCCCAGCCAGTAGCTATTTGTTAAACTGATGGCATATGAAGGCAAAAAGTCTGGTGGTTTCTAAAGTAATAGACCTTTGAAAATTAAAAAATGTGAAATTTATTGATGACATAGGGAGCAAAGAGCTGAATTCTTTTGTCTAATGCTTATCAAAAATGAAACTTTGTACTCTACTGG